CCACCCCCACCTCCCAGACCTTTCAGGGCGACACACATTAGGAACAAAGCCCATTACAATTCTGGATGTGCACTGGGAAGGGGGAAGGGAGATGATTGTGTTTTTACACAAGTTGCCCAAAGGAGGATCCAGCTGTGGCGACCCCTGGTACCCAGCTCCAGCATCCGATGTCTTTGGCCCTTGGTAAATGCTCAGGTAAGCACCTCCTCTTGGAGTACCATTCCATCCTAGTTCTGGCTTTGAGAAATGGGGAGAGAGTCACAAAATTCTCAATAAAAAGAAAAAGGATTAAAATTCACTTTCAGGAAGGCATACCAAGGCCACACAGTGGTGTTGAGCCATCAATCAAACCAACCGAAGTAGGATATCAGCTTCAGACAGTAGGACGGATGGGGGATGGGAGACCATACAACACTGTGCTTGTAATAAGGGTTGGCCTGTCACCAACACCCACCACTATACTTCACTGTAGGATCCCAACACCTGAAAACTTTACAGTTGAGACTCAAGACAAGCAGCTTCCTGTTGGTGCACCTGCCTACGTCAACAGGAAAAGATAGTTGGCCCATGAAATGATATTTGGGAGTAGAGGTCAACCTGTGAGGCCCACTCCATCTTTCCCTGGCCCCACCCCACTGCAACAGGCTGACATCATGCTAAGTGAACTCTTCAGGGAGATTAGTACTGAAATGTATACACCTTGGATACGAATCAATTCTTCATGACCATAAGATTGCTGAGAAATTCAATACATGCACATTCATAATGAAGAATGGATTAAAAATAAACAATCAAGTTTAAACTCATTTCAAGATAATGACAAACTCTCAATGGCACAAGAGGGACCTGCTCTCTAGAGGCAGCTCAGGCTACCTCCTCGTTGCCCAGTGAGCTCCAGCGCTGCCCACAACAGACAGACTGTGCTAAAAAAAACACCAGGTGAATGTGCTGTGCCATAGCTTAAACTAACTTCCAAAGCAGATATGTATCATTTTAGAACCATTTAGAATTATCTACACTTCTGTCCTCCAAGAACATGACTAAAAGACAAGATTAAATGGCAACATGAGCAAATCTGGAGTTAAGCACCAAAATATTTCACTCATAAACATAACATCCAGAAGTAAAAATCTGGACAACTCCTCCCTCCATCATGTGCCAGAATATTCAACGTGACCATTAACTGCCTTGGGGGTTTCGGAATGAAGTCTCCCCATGTAGGCTGTGTGGAGCTGGGTCTGCAGACAGAGCTAATAGCCTTTCGGCACACGAAAGAGAAGATACTACATCCAGGACCTCCAACCACTAGTCCCAATGCTCCCATAGCAACTGTCTCTGGTGTCCTCTGAGTCCTATCCAGGGAGAATACCCAACAGGGGTTGAAAATAGCCCAAAGCCCATAAAAGAGATAATCCCCTCTGTGCATTCCTCCTGAGATGCAGCATGGAGACATTTGGAGCTATCGAAGCATAGAAAGCCAGAGAGGCCAAACAAACATCAACACCACCGGCGTCCAGGAGCTAATGGGCCAGAGAGCGCCTCCAACAGGCCCTGAGCACATCCATCTGAAGCTGCAGGAGCCCGCTCAGCTCTTCCTGCTCTTGAACTGCTAAAGCATGAAGTACAAAATGAATCTTCCACACCCGGTGCAAGCCCTCACACAGTCAAGGGGTAGGGCCCATCCTGCAAATTGGGACAACCAGATGCCTGGTACACAGGACTGACTGCTGGGAGTGAGTCCCCTGGTTTCAGTTCTGTGACCTGTGCAATTGAAAGGGGGAAGAGGAAAGGGAATGAATGGATGCACCCTCACTACCTGCTTCACCACATCATCTTTAGGGAAATGGGGAGCAATTGTCTAGGCGATTTATCTTGTTTTATGCAGATCTGCTTGACACTCAGCAGCTGCTGTGAGTTTTTCCCCTTAATATGTTACAGGTGAGTTTTCCCCGTTTACTCTAAAAATTAACTGTGTGTGGAGAGAACAGATAGTCTCTAAAAGTCTGTTATGCCTTTTTGTGATTGATTAGACATGATAACAATTACCAGGATCAACGGGTTCCAAGCTATCAACAGTAAATTCCGATATGTCCCCAACAGCAGCCCTCGCCTCAACCTCTGCACTGCTCTGTTCCAAGCCAACCAAGTGTTCCCCTTACTCACAGTTTATTTACTCTATTTACGTTAACAGGAGAATAAATGAGCTAAGCTCATTTGTGTTTGCCTTCTACAGATAGAAGTATCGGTCCACAAGATGATCTGAACTCTGTAGAAAGAAATATTATTTAAAAAAATATATATATATATAGTATTTAGCTATTAAAAATTTATCTTGCCAGCTGGTGTGGCTCAGTGGTTGAGTGTCAACCTAGGAATCAAGAGGTCGCCAGATTGATTCCTGACCGGGGCACATAATTGGGTTGTGGGCTCGATTGCCCAGTAGGGGGTGTGCAGGAGGCAGCTGATTGATGATGTTTCTCTCTCGGCAATGTTTCTATCTCTCTATCTCTCTCCCTTCCTCTCTCTCTAAAAATCAATAAAAAATATTTAAAAATTTATCTTCAATCTGCTTCAAAGAAATTCCACTGTAGACCACACACACACACACACACACACACAGCAAAACAAAAAGAGAGAGACAGAGAGGGAGAAGACTAATTGTATACATATATAGTATGAGATTCTTCCTGCAGAAAAGTGCTGATCCAGACCTGCCCAGAGGAAATGAGTTCTTTTTCAACACAAAAAATGCAATCAAGGGTAATCAGCAAGTTAGCACCACACTTGCAAACACCCTGCTCCCTAGAAAGGAAGAATGCCAGCTTTCAGTACAAGTTCTGAGGACTGAACAGATCCTTTGGGTGAATGAAAAACAAGTGATCATGTCAGCGTCTTTAGCAAAACTTTCTCCAAAGCCCAGAAGCTTTGGAACAGCAGTCAGCTCCAGAAGGCACCTGCTTGTGAGAAGCACTTCAATAACCACATCCCCAAAGCGGCTTTGTGGGTTGGGGTTGGCTTGGCCTCTCTTCCCCATCCCTTTTTCCAATGGGTCCACCGGGGGGAAACAGAAGCCGGAAAAGAATGACATGCATGTCTTGCCCCTGCCTCTCCTGTGGCCCATCCAAAGGAAGGGAGATCCGATGCCCAACCCAGTAGAGGCAAGAAGCAGCAGAGACCCAGGGGCACTCCTGTGATAGCCCATACATGACCTACACGGAGCCTCCAACCAGGCCCTGAAAGTGTCCTAGTCTCCAGCACATATCACCTGTGAAACAAATTTAGTTTTGATTTTAAAAAAATTTAATAGCTATAAGTAACTAAAATTCTTATCAACTGCAACCTGCTTTAGGGGTTCAGCTCTTCTGGGAAAGTTTGAGGAATACCTGCAGACACCATTTCTCATTGTAAATCTCAAGGCAGTGGGGCTTCACCTCAATGAAGAGATTTTGGAAGTCAGTGCCAAGACACTTACCTGGCCCCACCTCTTGACCTCCCTCAACCTGTGGATTCTCAATCTTGGCTGCACAATAGAATCACCAGGGGAGCCTCAAAAATATACAGATGCTTAAACCCCACTCCCACAAGCTTCGGAATAAATTTGGTTCATGCTATGGCCGGAAAGTTTTTGAACTCTTCCAGGTGATCGTAATGTGCAGCCAAGGTTGAGAATCACTATTCTGCCCCATACCATTCCACCACCTCCATGAAGAGACCAGCATGAGATGGCTACACGAACATCTCTAGAAGAATCAAGGGCTTAACTCAAAAAGGATAGGAGGAAGTGTAACCTCCCTGCCAGCTCCTCAACCCAACCTCCCCTCACACACCCATATGGTTAGTTCTCACACACTTGGTCGCTTCAACAGTTCTTCGTACTGAAATCTAGGCCTTTAGTGAGTCCAGGAGTCTAGGAATCTGGATTCTAAGTAAAGCTTGAGCCACTTCTCAGATCTAATCCCAAACAGTCAGAATTTGATAAATAAGGTGAGGGCAACCTAAGCCCTTGGGCAGGAGTCCCTTCCTCCCTCTTCCTGGGAAATTGTCATTCAACTTGGGATGTTCTCCAAGGCTATGCTGAGTGTTGCCAGCTCCTTCAGAGGCTTGACCGGACAACGGTCCTGTCATTTTTTGTGCCTTCCTGTACCATTCTCATACATGGAAAGAAGAACTTCATATGAAAAATCCTAGTGCTAGAAGGAGGAGGTGAGATGACCCATCCCCAGATGCCTCCTGGAGGCACCTCCCTGAAGACTGTGGGAGGAGGGGCACAGCTGAAGAGCTGGGTTTACAATGGGGCCAAGCATGGGCCTGCAATTCATCTACCCTATCTCTTTGCACAGACATTCCTGATGCTGGGAATTATAAGGAGGAAGTAATGGGGAATTTCCCATCCACCCTCAAGGGCCCAATTCTCAAGGGATCAGGAGAGACAGAGATAACCACTTTGCCTACCTCTATCTGATTTCTTGCCCTGTGTTGATCCTGCTAAGCTGTGCTGTGGTGGAAGGAGCTGTGCTAGGCACAGATTCTACAGTCACTCCATTCAGCCCTTTGAGTACAGCCAAACATTTGAGTAAGAAGCCCATGATTGAGTAGCCAGGATTCTCTTTCTGCTGAGATCTGATGGATTTTCCATTGAGACCAAGCAAAGGATTTTCACTACTCCTTGGGGAAAGGACCCGATTATCTAACATGTAGCTAAAGATGCACTTCAATGATAGAGCTGGTTTCTATCAGGGCTCTTGGCCTTCACCCAACCCACCAGGTAGGTCTCTTAACAATAGAAGAATAGGAAAGAGGGCCTTACCTTCTGAACAGAGCTTGCCACCATAGCCGGTGGTAGAACAGTCACAGGTGGGATGGCCATCCAGGAGAAAGCAGATCCCTCCATTCTCACAGGGACGGTCACCGCAGGGTCCCTCGGCATCCAACTGGACGCCCTGGCTGCCCAGAAGCCGAGGCTCTGAGTTGCCGTACTTGAGATCTAGGATTAATCCCTTGAAGCCGGGCATGGCCTGTACTCCCTCTAGGGTCAGGGCAGAAGGTCGTATGTCTGCGGGAACTCCGCCCAGGAACAAGTCACTGACCACATCCATGTAGGGCCGCTGGGGCTGCAGCTCCCCAGACCGGCCCTCGCCATCCAGCACCAGCAGCGTGCTCAGGCGGTCGCGGCTCACCATGAGGAAGTGCCAGCCGCTGTCGTTCACCTGCTTGTCGGACAGCACGGTGGTCTCGGTGCAGTCCATGCTGAGGCGGAGCTGCACGCGGCCATCCACCAGGGAGAGGCAGAGGAAGTCGCAGACGCCGCCGTCGTCCAGGTAGAGGAGCAGCCCCGAGGAGACGTTGGTCTTGAACTGGAAGCTCAGGTCGCTGCGCGTGCTGGCATCCCAGCGGAGGTAGCGGGCCCACTGGTTGGGCAGGCCCATGAATTCCAGGCCCAGGCAGAGCCCCAGCAGGGACCCCAGCAGGACGCTCACCTTCAGGGTGAAGAACACCGAGTGCACGGTGAAACTCATCGTGGCTGCCTGCACCGAGCCCCGGGAGCAGCCAGCCAGGGACGGCCCTCAGGGAAGATCCCCCTTCGCAGTGAAGGGAGAGAGGAAGAGAGGGGTTGGGGGACAGAGAGCACACAGAGGAAGAAGTCACACACACAAATATTGAGCGGGTAAGGAAGGAGGAGAGGGGACAAGGCAGCCCCAGACGGGCAGCGAGCAAGAAATTCACGAAAGAGTAGGAAAGGGGGAGCAGAAGAGGAGAATCAGGCAGGCACAGGGGGGCCTGGAGCGAGGAGCCAAGTGTCTTTCTCCAAGAAAAGATCTCAGCTATCCATGCGGATCCGGAGGCCTTGATTCAAGGAGCAGGAGGTACACGGCGGGGGAAAGCCTTCAGCAGTGCGCTCCTCCCGGTGCGCCCCCAAACGCCCCAGCCAGGGAGGCCAGGGAGACGACTGGGGTCCAGGGCACCGTGATGGAGGAGTGAGCAGTGAGCTGAGCCAGGTGAAAGGCAGAAACGGGCCAAGAGCCAGTCCTGAAGGCCTACCTCCTAGCAGCGGGGGGCTGCCGGGAGAGGGGCAGCTGGAAGCTGACGGCTGGCGCAGAGCTGGGCCGGGGGCAGGGCGGGAGCGGGCTCAGGCTTCATGGTGTGGGCCAGAGGCAGGCCTGCCCATAACCTCCTTCCCCGGACTCCAGAAAAGGGCCTGCGGGAGAAGGGGGTGGGGAGAGAAGAGAGGAGAGGAAGATTAGGGTGCGTGTCAGGAAGATACTGCATCCTATTTCACAGATAGGGATGGGGCGCTGATGGTGAGCCGGGCTATTCCAGTGGTCCCCACAGCACTTGGTGGTTCAAACAGGACCGAGGATCAGGGTTCTTCCAGAGTCACAGCAGGACTCCGAGCTCAGCTCCTAGTAACACACTCAGTTTTCCCATGTGCAAAAATAGCATAAAACCCCCAAAGCCATAGCAGCACATTTTACAATATTCACATCACAGGGTCATATCGCCAAAACTTATTTTTAAGATAAGTGTTAACATTTTATACACTCAAATACATACACATAATTTTAACTTATTTACCTATTAAAAGACATGAAAATGACTGAGGAGTTTTTTTTAGATTTTTCATTTCCAACTTGATCATGCTTGAGTGTAGGCGGCCTAAGATAGATTTCCACCTCTAATTTTTGAAAGAAACATTTATAAAAATCTGTGAAAATAAATTAAGGCAAATAATGAGGAAGTGGTAGGGGTAAAGGTCAAAGTACATGCCACAGGGCTGAGTTTGAATACTAGTTCTCGTATGTGGGACTTCAAGCACATTCCTTAACCTACTGAGCTTCTATTTCCTCATTTGTAAAGTAGAAAAAAGAATAGCCTCTTTCCAAGGCTGGAGAGAAGATTAAACAAGACCATGCATGGGAAGATCCTAGCCGGAGTCTATATACATAGTAGGTGCTCGGTGACCACCAGTATGTCCAGATAGGAAGGGATGAAAAGCGAGTCACTGATGTATGATGTATGTGTGAGTATATGCCTGTCTGTGGAGCGGGGCAGTATATTAAAACACAAATACTTTTTTAAAAATTACGAAAACTGCAGAATGGACAACAAAGGAATAGTTAAGGAATGTTACAGCCCTAGAGCATATTATGTGTATTATATACCGGCTGGAAATGNGTAGGGGTAAAGGTCAAAGTACATGCCACAGGGCTGAGTTTGAATACTAGTTCTCGTATGTGGGACTTCAAGCACATTCCTTAACCTACTGAGCTTCTATTTCCTCATTTGTAAAGTAGAAAAAAGAATAGCCTCTTTCCAAGGCTGGAGAGAAGATTAAACAAGACCATGCATGGGAAGATCCTAGCCGGAGTCTATATACATAGTAGGTGCTCGGTGACCACCAGGTCCCGTCCTTTCTTATGTCCAGATAGGAAGGGATGAAAAGCGAGTCACTGATGTATGATGTATGTGTGAGTATATGCCTGTCTGTGGAGCGGGGCAGTATATTAAAACACAAATACTTTTTTAAAAATTACGAAAACTGCAGAATGGACAACAAAGGAATAGTTAAGGAATGTTACAGCCCTAGAGCATATTATGTGTATTATATACCGGCTGGAAATGCACCAGCATCCAATCAAGTGGGTGACCTGGTTTCTGAAGGCAGACTCTGGCCCATCTAGCTAAGTGGAGACGCTTCTGTTCACTTGAGAGCAATGAGTGTAATTTCCAAGAGCTGTGCAAGTTGCTGCTTATTAATTGACATATTTGATGATTCACCATGGTCTCTCTCAGACTGTTACTGTTCACTGTTTTTACGATGACCACATTAGCAAAGCTAGTCACTACCCCACTATGAAGAGGAAAATGCTATGTCTCGTCAAAGGAACAAACACCTGTTGCCACTGAGCAGACAAACCCAATCAAGAGGGGCTGATTGAACCCATTAACAAAAGCCCTTGTTCTGTAAAAGGTCTTGTCCACACGTGGTATCCCAAAGTGTGGCACGGGCCCCTAAAGTGGAGCAACAGATGCTTAACTTGAACATGGACACAGTGATATGGAGGTGCCACTCCTGTGGGCCAGTGAGAACCAACTGTTAAAATTTCAGAAATTTTTTAGCTGGATGATGTCACTTTGGTAACATGAAATCAACTATGCTAGGCATGTTCACACCATGAAAATAGGCAAATGCCACAAGTCAGAGTCTTTGGGAAGGTTTGATTTAAGGAAAGCCTTGAAAGAGGGTGAGGGAACTAGTCATGTAAATATCTAAGAAGAATGTTCCACAAGTAATAGTCCATGCATAGGTCTTAAGACAAGAGCAGGCTGGTATGTTGGAGGCCAGCTGTTGGAATGGAGAGAAAGAAATGAAGCCAGAAGTGGCTACCAGGGGGCTAGATGATGACTCATGACCTCACTAAGAATGTGCTCATCATATGATGGGAGGTATGGCACCCAAAGCAAAAGGCAACATCCCAGGGGAGAGAAGAAACCCTTGTCCTAAAAAGATGGCTCCTTCTGGTCTCAATAACTGCCACATCTACATATTTCCTTTTCAAAATTATTGAAAAGTGTCCACTTTTGGAAAACGTGCTCAGAGGACAGCTGCTCCCCTTCTTCTTCATGCATTTGACTTAGATTTAGCAAGGCAGGTGTGAGCAAGGGGTCCCCACGCCTGGAATTAATGATGAGCCCATGATGTGTGAGACCAAGAGGCTTGGCAAAGTGCTTTCACAGTGCTTTCAGCAGACACTGTCCTGGCTGCTCCACCTCCCTGTCCACTCCCTGTCCTGCCCATTTAGACCAAGGAGTCCACTGCCTGACAAGCAAGGCCCAGGCTCAGATGGCTAAAGCTAGTGGGACCCTCGAGGGAGGCAAGGACATCCAGATGGAGGGCCCAGTACTATGGATGAGCAGGGGCATGGGTGACCCTCTAAATGAACAGTCCCTGAAACTTTCTAAGACTGGTTTATACTATCAGCTCACCTCTGGGTATCTGAGAGTCACTTGTCTGTATAAATTAATTGAGTCGCTCAATTCAGTCTATTTATTGAGCTCCAATGCCTTCCAGCCACTGCTCTATCAAAGTGGAATGAGAAGCCATTCTCACCCTCAAGGGCATCAAAAAATAGGGGGGCAAGTGCACTTTAGAAACACGAATCACAGCAACGAAGAGCCCAGGCTCAGGAAGCTCGATGGGGCGCTTCCTGGGACAGGGTCTGCTCCACCATGGTGCCTGCCACAGGAGCTCAGGAAACATGTGTATACAGAATGAAGTGTAAAAACAGAAGCTGAAGAGCATCCTGGTGGATCATTTAACTTCTGCTCTGTGCAGTGGCCTCACCCTGCTTTACACAATGACAGCAATCCTAAGCCCCCACGCTTCTCTGGATGCCAACCTCAGATGACCCCAAAGGGCAAAGTAGCACAAGCCTAGTTGTCTGGGGAAGCCCATGAATTAAGAACTAAGCTGCCCAGGAACACTCTCCGGTGCAGAGGATCATGGGAATTTACCCAGTCTGCTCTGGTGTGGTCACACTGGCCTGCCTACTGAACCTCTTTCGACAGATTCATAGTCCTTCCCTCCAGCCCAGCCCAGCATTGGAGGTGCCAGTGTTCCGCTGCCTGCAACGTGGGGGATCAGAAAGTCCAACTGAGAAAAACAAAATTTTCTTTCTCACAGGGGCCAGGCAGAATCTGATTTCAGTAATGTGACATCAGAGTTGGGTTTATCTGGATTTCACAGCCTCGGGTCTGCCCACATTCTCTACTACCACCCTTCCATTTATTTCTTGGACCGAAGACACTCCCATGGACTCTGGGAAATTGCCAAAGTAGCCAAAAGCTAAAGATCGCCTTACATTAAATATCATGGGCCTCGAGCCAACGGCCCCAGGCATTTATCCTTTAGCCTTCCTTAGCCCTTTACTGGGATATGCCAAGGCTCAAGAAATGGGAAAGTGGGAACCAGAGAGCCATCCCCACCTGGTCAGCCAACTGCCAACCTCTCTTGAGCCATAGTATGGCCCAGGCATCCACGGGTGTAGATGGTTTGCCCCAGAACCTGCATAGGGTGTCCGAGCTAGTGCAGAAACTCAAAAACAGTTATCTGTCGTGCGGCAATCTAGCAGGAAAGGAAAAATGAGTGACATTATCCAATTGCCAACTAATTTACATAATTATTGAATGGCATGCTTTTTCTATGGGGTTAACATCTTTGCAAATGTATCACTATCCGGCTGCTTAGGAGGCAGGGGGCCCTCACAGGACTCTGACATGTGGGCTATTTACCAAAGCATGGCCACTTCTCTCCAGTTCCTCTGCTCCCTTGAGACAGGCTCAGGTGAAAATCAGGCCTGCATCTAGAACCAGGATAGGTGTTGAAGGCATGATGACCACTCTCCTCATGCCTAGCCCTTGCTGGTATACCTCAGGCCCCAGGCTGGACTTGCCAGTTCTTCCTCCAGCACTTCTCAGCAGCATCCCCCTTATACGCCTCATTAGGACCAGAAACTCC